CTCTATTATATCTTCAAAAAGCTTGTCCAGCCCTTGAGTGTTGTCTTCTTCCCCTTCTGCTAACCCTATGACCCTCACGTTAGGTTTTTTCACATAATCCCACACCTCTTGTAGGCTGTGTTCTTTTCTCTTATTTCTCTGCTCTATCTCTGTGACTGATTTATTTAATTGGAAGGTGTTATCTTCAATCTGTGAGATTCTTTCTTCTGTTTGATCTACCCTGTTCTTGAGACTTTCCACAGTATTTTGTAATTCCCTGAGTTGATTTTTCATCTCCAGGACTTTGGTTAAAGTTTTCTTCACTGTGTGGATCTCTTTAGTGAACCTTTGTTCCATATCTTGGAGGCTTTTTGTGGTTTCTTTGTGTTGGTTATTGAGTTGTTGTTGCAGGTCAGTGAGTGTTTTTATGATCCACATTCGAAATTCCTCTTCTGTCATTTTGGTTGCCAGGTTTTGGTTGTTGTCTGTTTCTAATGGGCTGGTGCTCCTCTTTGGGGGTGTGTTTTCCATTTGTTTCTTCATATTTCCAGAGTTCCTTCGTTGATTTCTTCCCTTTTTTCTCAGTTGTTGTTTCTTTCCTTTAGGTTTTCCTTTGGGTATTCACACGTCTTCTTTAGTTTCTGAGACAGTAAGTGGAGTTGCTCACTGGCGGCAGCTGTCACTGGGCTGGTATCTGCAGGTCTCTCTACCCGCTGGGGAGCCAGCAGTCTGAGATGTAGTGGAGGGGAAATGGCCGATTACCCTACCCTTCCCGCTGGTCTCCAGGCTGCTCTGGCGGCCTCCCGTCTTCTGCCTCCTTAATTACACAGGTGGAGATAGATGGCAGGAACTAGAGAAGTTCCTATCTCAGCTCCATCCCCAAGGCAGGGCTAGAAACTTTGGAACCGAAGGCCCAGCCCCAAGTCACCAGAGTGTGTGGGTTGTAACGTCTCTCTGTCTTGTATTCACCAGAGGCAGCCACCTACTAGGCTCATTCCTGCCCAGGCAAACTCCAGGGCCTGGACACGGAGTGCAGAAGACCTGTGCAGATAGAGACTGGCCTGTAGCCGGCAGGCCCGTAGTCAAACCCACGGTTCCCTGTCTTCTGTCTCTTTAATTGCACAGGTGGAAATAAGTGGTAAAAATGGGAACAGTTCCTATCTCCACTCTGCCCCCAAGGCGGGGGCAGAGACTTTGGAGCCAAAGGCTCAGCCACAAGACACTGGAGCGTGGTGGACATAAAATCTCTCTGTCTTATAGCCACTAAGGGCTGTCTCTCACGAGGCTCAGCCCTGCCCAGGCGGGCTCCACACTCTGGACACAGAGCGCAGGAGACCTGTCCAGGGAGAGACTGACCAGAAGCAGGCAGGCAGTCAATGGGACCCACCTATCCCTGTCTTTTGTCTCTTTAATTCCACAGGTGGAGATAGGTGGCAGGAATGAGAACAGTTTCTATCCCAGCTGCGCCCCCAAGGCGGGGACAGAGACTTTGGAGCCGAAGGCTCAGCCACAAGACACAAGACGGTGGTAGACGTAAAGTCTCTCTGCCTTATAGCCGCTAAGGGCAGCCTCCTTCTATAGTAGGCTCTGCCCAGGTGGGCTCTGCACTCTGGACACAGAGCAAGGGAGACTTGTGCAGTGAGAGATTGTCCTAAAGCCAGATCCACTAGGCCCCATGTTCTGTCTCTTTAATTCCACACGTGGAGATAAGCGGCGGGAACGGGAGCAGTTTCTATCTTGGCTCCGCCCCCAAGGCGGGGATACAAACTTTGGAGCCAAAGGCCTAGCCCCAAATCCCCAGATGTGGGGGTCATAAAATATCTCTGTCTTATAACCACTAATGACTGCCTCCTGCAAGGCCGGGCTCTGCCCAAGCGGGCTCCACACTCTGGGCACAGTGCAGGAGACCTGTGCAGGGAGAGACTGACCAGAAGTGGACAGGCAGGCAGTCAATGAGACCCACCTATCCCTGACTTTTGTCTTTTTAATTACCCCGGTGGAGGTAAGCGGCAGGAATGAGAACAGTTTCTATCTCAGCTCCCCCCCCCCAAGGCTGGGACAGAGACTTTGGATCCCAGGGCGGGGCTCCGGGTCTCAGGAGAGTGTGGAAGGCAATGTTTCTCTGCCTTAAATCCACCAAAGGCAATCTCCCCTGTAGCACTGCCCCGTCCAGGCAGGGTACACTCTCTGAGCACAGAGTCAGTGCCACTTGTGCAGCAAGTGATGGTCCAATATCAAATTGGTGGAGCAGTTGTGCGTACCAGCGCTCTCTCTGCACCTCCTCTCCAAACCCTGAGCCCAAGTCTGCGCTGGAATGCCGAGTCAGCGCCGGAATGCAGGGGCAGGAGTGGTGCTGGAGGGGCAGAGGGGGGGGTCCTAATGGATCAAGGAGTCTAACTTTGCGCACTCTGACCTCTCAGTGCTATCCCAAACCTCCTCTATATCCAAAGTCAAAGCCTCCTTCTGTTTAAACTCCCCTTGACCTTGATCTGGGAGTGTTCTGCAGGGAGATGCCAGAGTGGGCTCTGGTTCCTGCTGCGCGGAGAGCAGTTGCTGTGCTTGGACCCTCCCACACCTTAAACTGCGGCAGCTGTGTGCTCTGGAGAACTCACCACGTTCCCTGCTCTAGTCTTCTCTCCACACGGCTTAGTCCCGTGCTGCCACTTCTCACCAACTTCAGGCACCTCCTGGCCTATGTGGAAGTGGAGCTCTGTGTGGGAGGGGTTGTTTCTCAGCACCGGGTAAGGCTGGCGCCACTGCCAGCCGGCAGCGGCCTAAACCACGTCTCGCTCCCTCTCTGTTGTGTGCCTCCAAATCCCCGAGTTTTGCGGAAGAATGATCGGTTCACCTTTGCTTTAGGCTGCAAATGGTCTTATCCCTCCGTTTCCTGTTGGATGTCTGCAGGCTTGCAAAGCTGTTCTAGTGGAAGTGCAGATCGCTCAAGTGTGGTTATCCACTTTCTTCACTTTTCGCTCTGGGAGCAGAGAGCCAGGAGGGCACCCCTACTCCGTCATTTTTCTGTCTCTTATTCAGAGATTTTTTGATAAAGGCCATTCTCACTGGAGTTAAGTGATATCTCATTGTGGTTTTGCTTTGGATTTCCTTGATGATTAGAGATGTCGAGCATTTTTTCATATGTTTGTTGGCCATTCTTCTGTCTTCTTTAGAAAAGTTTCTGTTCAATACCAAGGCACACTTTTTATTGGGTTATTTGATTTTTTTTCTTGCTTATTTTTGTGGGTTCTAAGTATATTCTAGTTATTAACCCCTTATCAGATGCGTAGGATGCAAAAATTTTCTCCCATTCTGTAGGTTGTCTGTTTACTTTCATGACTGTTTCTTTGACTGTGCAGAAGCTTTTTAGTTTGATCATGTCCCATTTATTTATTTTTGTGGCTGCTGTGATTGCCTTTGGAAAATTCTTGATAAACTCTTTGCCTAGGCCAATGTCTAGGAGTTTGTTTCCAATATTTTCCTCTAGAATTCTAATAGTTTCATACCTTAGGTTTAAGTCTGTTATCCAGCGTGAATTGATTTTTGTGAGAGGTGAAAGTGTGGGTGTTGTTTTAGCCTTCTACAAGTGGCTATCCAATTTTCCCAGCACTATTCATTGAAAAGGGATTCTGTTCCCCAGCATATGTTTTTGTCTGCCTTGTCAAAGCTTAGATGGCTATATGAGGATGGTTTTATATCAGGATTCTCAGATCTGTTCCACTCATCAATATTTCTATTTTTGTGCCAATACCAGATTGATTTAATTACTTCAGCTTTGTAGTATACTTTGACATCTGGCATACTAATACCTCATATTTTGTTTTTGTTGCCTAGAATTGCTTTTTATATTAAGGGTCTTCTTTGGTTCCACAGGAAGTGTAAAATTATTTTTTCTATATCTGTGAAGAATGCTGATGGGATTTTAATAGGTACTGCATTGAATCTGTAGATCAGTTTGGGTAGTATAGACATTTGAATGATGTAGAGTCTGTTGAGGCACGAGCATGGAATGGATTTCCATCTGTTTAGTAAATGAAGAAATCCAAGACGAAAATAAAAATTCGATGAAGAAAATGACAATGGAGAGACAAGTTATCACATCCTCTGGGACAGAGCTAAAGCAGTTCTGAGAGGAAGTTTATCTCCATAAATGCTATACCCCAAAAGTCAAAAAGATCACCAAATAGACAATCTAATGAAACGACTCAAAGAGCTGGAAAAAGAAGAATAGACCAGCCCCAAACCCAGCAGAAGAAGTGAAATCAACAAAATAAAAACAAAACTAAACAAAATTGAAAACAAGGAAGCTATTGAGGAGATTACTAAAACAAAAAGTTGGTTTTTTGAAAAAAAAAAAACAAAATTGACACGCCACTGGGTAAGCTAACGAAAAGCAGAAAGAGATCTCTAATAAGCGCTCAGTCAGGAAACAAAAGGAGATATCACACTGATCCCAAAGAGATACAAGATATATATTTATGAATACTGCAAAAATCTTTATCGCACACAAACGGAAAATGTGGAAGAAACGGACAAATTTCTAGAAACACACAGCCTCCCTAACGTTTTAACCAGGAAGAATAGATTCCCTGAACAGACCAATCTCAAGAGCTGAAATGGAAACAGCAATTAAAAATTTCCCTAAAAAGAAAAGTCCTGGTCCAGATGGTTTCACACCCGAATTTTACCCACTTACAAAGAAGAACTAGTACCTATCTTGCAGAAACTATTCCACAACATCGAGAGACAGGAAACTCCCTGACACACTTTTATGAAGCGAATTATACTCTGATAGCCAAAACCAGAGGAAAGCGATCAAAAAAGAAAATCACAGACAAATATCCCTAAGGAATAGTAGATGGCAAAGAATTTTCCACAAAAATCTCAAGCTAAGCCGAATCTATGCTTTATCAAAAAATTAATCTATCATGACCAAGTGGCGTTCATCCCAGGATGCAGGGATGTCAACATGTACGTAATCTATAAATGCAATTCACACACATAACAGAAGAAAAAACAAAGACACGATGATTTTTTCAAAGAGGCAGGAAAAGCTTTTGATAAATTAACACTTTCTGATACAAGAACACATAATAAAATAGGCATGAAAGAACCACACCTAAAATGATACAAGCATCTATGACAGCCCATAGCCAACATCACACTGATATGGGGCAAAATGGAAAAGCATTCGCCACTTAGAACTGGAACCGAACAAGGCTGCCACTATCTCCACTTCTATTCAACATAGTGCTGGAAGACTTGGCTACAGAAATCAGACAGGAAAGTGGAGATTAAAGTTATCCAAATAGGCGCAGAAGGATCAACGAATTTTA